CACACCACAGAAAATGGGGCCCTGGGAATTGCATATGCTCCTGTGAGTGCTTTTGGGAGTGTTTTCCTGGTCAGCATGATGCTTATGTGCTTGAGAGGCAACTGCCATCTCAGTAACACTGGACTCTCCAGTGGTTCTTGACACTGACTGTGCTGGCCAGAATTAACTGGCATCAAATTAACTAAGGAGGCCAGGTGACTTTTTAGCTCTTGCCTCTTTTTCCAAGTGTTGGAGAACACAAGTATAAGCTAGCACATCAAGCCCCATTAAAAGTAGTTATTAGGGGAAAGATAAAGGTATGGAAACATATCTTTGAGAAGATGTGCTGTTGACTAACAGTCAGACACTAGATTAAGAACCCACTTAGGATGAGGTGAGTGATGAGAGCCCCAGTCTCAAGTCTACTGTAGCACAGTACTGTGGAAGAATTTATTCACTAATAACTTGCTTCCATAGTTGTTTCAACCTGTAGAAGGACAGGGAGACTGAAAGCAAATATATCTCAGGGCTTAATTATGATTAATTACTGAATGGCCATTAGCAGTGCTTAAGCAAAAATAATTATATATATATGTGTGTGTGTGTGTGTGTGTGTGTGTGTGTGTGTGTACACATATATACGTATGTATGTGTGTGTATATATATATGTATGTAAGAGTGTCATTGGTCTCTTGGGGAGGACAGACTGTCTTGGACGTCATGGTTAGCATCACTGTGATAGTGTCCCCCCACTCCCGAAAACCTTGCAGCAGCATAAAGCATTTCCAAATGCTCTCTGGCCAGCATGGGTGATGGCAGCACAGTCAGTTTCAAGAACCGTTGGTAGTCCAAGAGTACATAAGGTGTTGCTGAGATGCCAACTGCCATTCAAGCCAGTGGTCCTCAACACATAAGCATCGTGCTGACATGGAATACACTCACAAGCACTCACAGGAGTATATGCAATTGCCAGGGCTCTAGCTTAAATACGTTCATGCCTTGCTTCCTTAATTAAGAGAGGACATTGGCATACAGCTTTGATTCTGCTCCAATTTAGTTTTTTTTTTTTTTAAGAATAAGATAAATTATTCCTAAACTTGAGCAATTTAAAATAACAACTTTTAAGAGGTAAACCCTATTGATTGGTTACCTGGAAATGATTGTAGTCCCAAGATCAAGGCATTTAAAATGGGTTATAACTATATAGGACACATTACAGGCCATTATACCCATTTTTGTTGTTGTTTGTTCAGGTATGGTGCTGGGGAAGGAACCCACAGTCTCACATAAGCTATACAGTATTGTTCCCTTGAGCTACATTCTCAGCAGGAACCATGTCTGTCTGTGCCTGCCTGTCTGCCTGTCTGTCTTCTTGCCTTCCTTCCTCTTTCTGTCTCTGTCTGTGTCTCTGTGTTTCTGTCTCTGTCTCTCTCAATCTCTCTCTTTCCCCTGCCCCACTTTATTCTTTACTCTTTCTCTACTCTTGAACATGAGACCAGCCCTGAAGTGGTTGATAAACCCAGTGTCATTCTATTGGAGAAAACCGTTTTTGTTTTTTTTTTTTTTCTTCTCCCAGCAGATATGAATGACAGTTCATTTGTTAATTCTCTTACCCCAAGTTTGTTTGTTTGTTTCTTCCTCTCTTTCTTTAAATAACAAAATATGATAAAATGAGCTATCATCACGTCGATATTGAACAACTCAAACCAACAGAATGAAAAGAACCCAAGAGAAGGCACAAGAATCAGAGACCTATTCATTCACATACTCAGGAGTCCTATAATTACATTAAACTAGAATCCATAATATAAATTCAGAGGACCTGGTGCAGACCCATGTAGGCCCTGTGCACACTACTTCAGTCTCTGTGAGTTCATATTTGCTTTGCTCATGTTGATTTCAAGGGCCTTGTATTCTTGGTGTCCTCCAACCCCTCTGGCTCTTACATTCTTTCCTCCTTTTCTTTCAAGGGGTTTCTTGAGCTCTTAGCGGGGGGATTAGATGGAGATATCTCATTAAGGGATGAGTGAGGTATCATGTTTTCAACCAGGTCATCATTGTTGTTTTCCTGAGGCCATTCTTCCTCATTCCACTGTTCCTCTCCATCTTCATATAAAACTTTATGCCACAGTCTAATGCTATGCTTAATGCTGTGTCTGTCTATATAGTGTCATTTTAGAGGTCTATACACCATTGTAATACCTTGGAATTTTTCTCAAGCCCTAGTTTTTGTCCCTTTGGGAGTGTTATGCCTCCATGCATATATTAGAGAATTTGTAAAACCAAAGAGAAGCCAGCACCTGTATGTGGGCAGACTCTTGGTTTTCAGACATAGGGCCATTTGCTTTGGGGAAATAATAAGATGATTTAGTATGGCTCCGTTGACATGAAAAACCAATCAGTTTGCTCAGAACCTTTCCCTTAATTTACCTGCCAACATAAAGAACTTCAGAAAGCTTTATTTCTCAGCAATTAGCTGCTAACTTCGTTAGGGTGAGACTTCCTTAGTGAGTGTGTATATGTGTATATATAGTGAGTGTGTGCATGAATGTACATGGCAGGGTGTGTGCTCGTGCCTTTGTGTGGTGTAATATACCTTTAGTGTTAGGTAATTATTACTTGGTTCTCTGAATTCTTCCATGACCTTGCTTAATGATTCAACAAAAATCTATGAATATGGAGTATTAAGTACATGCAAAAGACTTTATGTAATGTATATCTTTTTCAGTATAAAAGGTAAGGAAACAAACACCATAACCCATGTCCATTAATAGTTATAGGTTGTAAGATGGATTGTGAGGGGCTCATGGGAGCCTACCCTTCTGTATTAGTCAGACTTCTGTAGAGTAATGGAACTTATAGAATGAATACAGGTAGAAAGGTGATTTATTAGAATGGCTTACACTCTGTGATCCAGCTAATTCGACAATGGCTGGCTATGAATGGAAGGGCCAAGAATCCCAAAGTTGCTCAGTCAGTGAGGCTGGACTTCAGTATGTGCTGGGATTCCAAAGAAGTAGACTCAAATGCTAGAGAAGGCATGGACTTGTAAGCAGGCAAAGAACAAAAGCTTCCTTCTCCCATGTTCTTAAATAGGCTTCCAGCTGAGTCCTTCATACCCATAGTACAGATCTGGGGTGAGGTTTCCCAGCTCAAAAGGCTTGCTTTAAAGGTAAGTCTTCCTGCCTCAAGATCAGGATTAGAAGTAGATCTTTTCACTTCAGATTAAGCAAAATTCCTCACAACTGTGCCTCATTTTTGGGGCACAAATTTAGTTAATTTCAGATGTAGTCATGTTGACAATCAAAAATAGCCATTATGCCTTCTGTGCTCAACTCTTGGCTACTGAAGGATTCTGGGTGATGGGGAGTATCCATTGGTTGCATTGGATATTTCCATACCCATCGTCAAATGTATGTTTTCAGTTGAATTTGTTGGTTCACAAGACAAAACAAAACAAAATGTGACATGAATGTGGGAAAGGAACCTTTAGGGATGATAGGAATTGGCAGGGGTGGGAAGGAGACACAAGAAGGCTCAGGGGGTAAGAAAATCAGAGTGCACTACATACTTGTATGAAATTGTCAAAGAACAAATTTAATTAATAAGGAACTAGAGTATCATTAATGCTGTTGATACTATTCGTGAGATGATCTTATCCATCTCATGCCTCATTCCCAGATACCTAGTTATCTTGAATAATATCATTCACTTGCTTTTTTGAGTACCATTTTATTACATATGTATGTATTTCTAAAGAACTCATTTGCTGATGGTTTGAGCTTTATCACTACAGTAATTGTGATTTTTTTTTCACTCAATTACATATCTTTAAGAGTTTGGCATATTGTTGGAAATAACCATTAAATAAATTTTGCTTAAAATTTTTTTTGAGTTTTTGGCTGTATTATAATAAGATATTTTGGAGGTGAGACCTGGGTCTAAGGATGAAGGTTTTATATACCCCGTATACATACAGCTTGAAGATAGTTTCAAGAGATATTTTTAGCGCCTTTGCATTTGACATTGACTTGTTACATGAGGTTGGGTATGGAATTTCCCACTGTGGTGTGATTTGGTCACTCAGAAAGTTTCACATTTTGGAGCATTTAAAAAAGTTTTCACGTTAAGGATCCTCAACCTTATGTGATAGTTTATTCAGTTTTTGTTGTTATACAACTAAGCATTATATTCCGTTTATCCGTTCTCCTGTCTTCTGTGTTGTTTGGAACTTTCTACCTCCCCTCCCTTGCCTTCCTTATCCCTCCCTTCCAGTCTACTCTCCTCCTTTCCTGTCCCCTCCTCCGCATTCTTCTCTCCTCCCCACTCACCTTACTGTGAGTAACTTTGCACCCATCACTAGTAATAAGCCTAATAGAATCATTAGTTCACCAAACCAAACTTGGATGGATCTATTCTTTTGGTCTGTTTGTTCTGTTCTATGTACTTTGGATAGACATTGTTTCCATCTTCCTGGGAAAAGCTCAAGTAAGAAATGGTGTAGAAGAAGAGACGTGAATTACAGGTTCCATTGGGGTCTTCCAACCATTGGCATTTGAGATTAGAACAAACTCCAGCTTTTCATGTCTGTAACGATCTTTAGTTGTCTGGGATCATTTGGCCATGTCTCCCTTTGGAATAAAAAGGGTAGGCTTTGAAACTGATAAAATGATGACACTAGTTCTTCATTCATCCATAAAAAGCATTTTTATTCCTTTAAGGACACCTACAGATGAGTATCCCAGTGTTCTCATGTGCTTTGAAATGTAGGGTATATGACCCTTTGATGTCTGTTTGATATTTTTTCTGTTTTAGCATTGACAATAATTCTAATATGAAACTGAATTTTGCCATCTCTCTCTCTCTCTCTCTCTCTTTCTCTGTCTCTCTATCATTTCTCTATCCATTCTAAACAAATGCATATTTTTCAACACATAGTTATATTATTTGGGATTTATATAGTTATATAGCTAAGTTATAATAGTTGAATTTGCATTTCACTGCCTTTCTTTTTCTCAAAGTTTCAGAATCTCCAGCTCAGTCCATAGTCCAGCACCTGAGATGGATAATGCAGAAGGACCTGTTGGGGCAAGATGTCTTTCTCATAGGACCTCCTGGGCCTCTGCGGCGTTCTGTTGCAATGCAGTACTTGGTGAGCAAGCAATTCTTGTCACTTTCTAAGGGTCTTAGCTTTGATGAAGGATATGATAAAATAAATGAAGGTGAAGAGTCTATAAAGATGTCAGAAATAGCTTTGTTGGGCTATGCACTGTCACCATGCAATGGCTGATTTATAGGCTTGCAGACAAGCTTGGGGAGCCAGCGACAGCTATAATACTAGAACTTCCTACCTTTAACAGAAAAGAAATATGAATCCAGGCCATAAGCAGTGGATGCATAGAATCAACAACTCTGAGATTGTAAAATCCAACACCTCTGCCCCCTCCCCATGCCCTTACTTTAACTCAGTGAACTTTTCCTTATCTCAGGTTTACAACTTAAAAACCAAAGCCGTTTCTTTGACCTTTTGAAGTTGTGTGGTTTTTAGAGGGAGCCCAAGGTATAGGGCGTTTTTAATGTCATAGCTACATACTGCTTTTCCTTCTGTTTAAACAGATGACAAAACAAATGAACAAAGATTGAATAACCTATTCAGTCTTTAGCTAGAAAATTATACAGTTAGACTTGAAATCCCTCTTTTACCTTTTTGACATGGTCTTCTCTTGAATAATTCTAGTTTTTGAGAACTGTTGTTAACTGAATTAAAATCTTCAGCTTTCAATGGCAGTATGGATGCTTACAAAGCCTTTCTGCTGTCCTGTAGTATTAATAGGCATTGCACTATTGATCCAGGCAAGAATGGCCTCAGATGAAGTTGTCTTCTGAAGACAACTTTTTAGAATGGAGGAAAATACCCTTGCTGAAGTTTGCTTGTGTTATTTATTATCGAATAATTGACTTTTATGCTGTTGAAATCTTCTTTATATATTTTACCTCGGTGACACATTTAGTTTATTTTTAAAAACATTTATTTTTGTGTGTTTGAGTGTGTATTTGTGTGCGTGCACACATACGCATCTGTGTGGATGCTACCAGCGGAAAAAAGATGCCTCAAACCTCCTGGAGCTGGGGTTATAGTTGGTTGTTAAACAACCTCACTCCTCTGTCAGAGCAGAGTGCTCTTAACTGCTCAGCCCCATCTCTGGCCCTAAATTTGCTTTAGAATTTCAGCATGTGTGAGGCAGGAATAACAAATGTGAAGTGACAAATCAGAAACATAACTCTCACTAGCCCATAACCTTTGCATCTTTTATTCACGTCCAGAGTCAGTTTGTGAGGTAAAACTGGCCACTGTAGCAGTAGGCTTAGTTAGCGCACAAGGTGAGTGTGTCTTGTCTAGGAATGAGGGACCAGCTACTTGGGATTCTTTGCCTCGCTCATTTCAAAGACTGTGATAGCTCAGTCAGATTTTGGGGTTGGCCAGGCTTTGAAGTTGTTAGAATTGTGGAAGGAGAGGAGCTCAGAGATCACAGAGATTTGGTTAAAAAATGCAATATAAATCTACAAGTGTGAAGCTACATGACCACTATGAGCAAACTTTAAATGTAAAATAAATCTGAGTTAGCAGACATACGAAAACCCAATACCATCTTGCCATGTAAATACACAAGGACTCAACACTACCCTGCCACCAGGCAGACTCTGCCGTGAACACTATTGTCACTGGGTATAAGAACTTTCACTTGGTAATGTCCTGAGTAGATATTTTTGAGAATTAAACAATGTGATAGTTTTTTTTTTTGTGATACTTAACTGCATTAAAGGAGATTGTAGATTGTTTAAAACAACTCAGCTAATGTCTGCTGCCTTCTTTTGTTGCTGTATGTGAGCTTGTTCACTTTTTTTGTTTTTTTTTTCATGAAGTAGTGCTGAAGGAGGCTGACAAGACTCAGGATAGTGACAGCATTGTCCTTAGTGTGCAGTTCAAGATTAAACTGTGGTGCTCTTTGAATATAAGGGGGCCAGGCATGGTGGTGCACAGCTTTTATTCCAGACTCAGAAGTCAGAGCCGGAGGATCTCTGAGTCTGAAGCCAGCCTGCTCTATAGAGTGAGTTCCAGGATAGCCAGGGCTACACAGAAAAACCCTGTTTTGAAAGACCAAAAAACAAATATAAAAAAGGCACATACAGTTTTGGCAATCATTGTAAATAAAAAAGGGGTTCGGGAAGGGAAACTCCCCCAATGAAAGAAGTAGACATGATATTATTAGTGATATGTTCTGAAAGCGGTACATGGGTATCTTCTAAAAGGAGAAAATTACTTTACCCTAGAATTGCCTCTTGCAGACAGATAATTCATTTATATTTAGGAAAACATCATTTGAAATTATCACATTTTTTATGACTGTGCATCTTCTCTATTTAAAACTTTGACCTCTTTTTCATTGTACTCAAAACTGTGGCAATCTGGAACAAAGAAATTTCAAAGAACTGAATGACAATAAAGTATTGTTCATCAACATAAGACTGATAAGTTGCAAGGAAATACAGTCACCTTGAGAAAGTCTCCTCCTCCAGTAATGCCATGCTCTGTCAACTTTTTTCTTTATCCTTGATTAAATTAATTTCTGTAATTAGTAAAAGTTTATTATACCCCTTATTTGATTGGAGAATGTCACTGTTCTTAGCTCATCATTGTAAAAGCAAGGGTAATGTATCTAGCTGTTAGATTTGGGCAAAATGATTTTATTCCTAGGTAAATTGTTTTGAGATGGCTTTTGAATATACCCCCTTTTTCTCTCATATCACATAATGTTTTGAGGGAACTAGATAGTTTTTCCTTCTCTCCCTTTTCAGCTTCCTCCTTCTCTTTCTCTTGCTCCTTTTCATCTCCTTCAGCTGTTGGTTTTTATTCTTTGCTTCACACTTGGAAAAGTATCTAACAATGATACAGTATTCAGTTGCTAAAACTTGGTCAATGGAGTAATGAATTGAAACCACACTTTTTTTTTTTAAAAAAAAGATAAACATTACATACAGAAATTTACTATGACTTATAGGAAAATTACCCAATTATTATTCATGATATTTGAAAAGGAATTCAACAGGATAAATTAAGGTTTGTAGAATTCAAATTTTATTCTTATTACTTAAGTAGTAGGATAGAATATAGTAAAAATGAAGGTCTAAGGATGTAAGATTACATAAATCTAAGGATGTATGAGCACAATGTGTGTGCTTGTGTGTGCATGTCTGTGTGAGCAAATGTGTTTATGTATGTGTATGTATTTGTGTCTAACTATATGGGCATGTGTGAGCATGTGTGTTTGCATGTGTATATTTATGTGTGCATGTATGTATACATGTGTATTCGTATACATGTGTGTATGTATGTGTATGTGTGTGCATATGTATAAGTGTCGTGTTATTGTCTTGAGGGGGATGTTTTGAGACAGTGTCTCCTATGTAGCCCTGGGTGACCTGGAACTTGCTATGTAGACCAGGTTGGCTTTCAATTCACAAAGGTCCACCTACTTCTGTCTCCTAAGTGCTAGGATTATAGGCGTGTGCCACCATTCTTGGCATGTATATGTTTTAGTATCTAATTTACTGAATTTTCTCAAAGACAGCATATTTTGAACCCATAATTACAGTGATAGTGGTCTTCTCTAGGCAGTGGTTTTGTTGAAGATGTTGTTCAAAATTGTAGGCTGGTAGTTTGATTTTAGCTCTGGAATAAATTTACTTTGTGCTCTACAGGAACTGACCAAACGAGAGGTGGAATACATCGCCCTGTCAAGGGACACCACCGAGAGTGACCTCAAACAGCGCCGGGAGATCCGAGCTGGCACAGCTTTTTATATCGACCAGGCAAGCTCTTTCCTTCTGGTCCATGACTGACTAGTCCAAGGCTATGTGAAATTGACTTAAAATGGAAAAAGAGTTATGTCATGTGTCAGTGAAAGAAAGATGTTGTATACTCTCTCTAGACAGAGTTGGTTCAGGGTTTGATGCCCTTATTCCTTAGAAGTGTCTTGATCCAGCTTCTGAAGGAGAAAACTTGGGTGAAGTGACTGGGGCCCATCAGCTAAGCATTAGCTGTCTCACAGTTGCTGCTCCTATCTTGCTTATAGACATTTCATTTTCTAAAGGAGAGGTATTACGGCTGCTTGGACATAGCTTCCCTAGCATGTGAACATGAGTATTTGCAATCTAACGGGGAGTTAGGAAAATGAGGATTAAAGTGCATGAAATAAAATACTTCCAGGTGTTACCACTTTTTTGGGGGGGGATGTTGGTGGGGAATGTCGTAGAAACTGCTCATCAACTAAAATAATGTTTTATGAATATTATAAGGAAGCATATTATTTCTTTCTTAAAACATATTGCATAAGTGACTAAATGTTGTTCTTTCAAATATATATATATGCTTCATAGCACATAGTATGAAGACTATAAATATTTGTAGTGACCATTGAGTTTATGGGGCTATACTTGACTTCTTCATTGACAAATCCTGCAAGATAAAACATAAAATATTTCACTTCAAGGAATTTACTAATGTCCATTGTTAATGAGGAAGAAGTGGTGAGTAATCAGCTTTGCTCCTGGAGGCAGCAGAAATTATACAGGTCTAGATAATTTAACCCTGTCTCTCAACAAAACAAAACCCAGGAACACTGCATATATATTTAGATTCAACAGTTACATTTCCAGTATTTTATTTCTTCCAAATGTGTGAAGGCTCTCTGCAACCTTCAGAAGCAGCAGAGAAAGAAGCTGTGGGAAGCAAGAAGGCACAATATGACTCAGTAGCCAATACTGGTTCAAACTTAAGAAGTCTGACCCCAGGCTTTTATTTTGCCATATGTAAACACAGCACAATCTGGTGAAACTATTCTTCTGATGACTCACTCCATCTTTTACGCACAACAGAGCATACCTAAGTCTCTGAGGAACAAAGTAAGTTAAGACAAAGTATTAGACATGACTACATTGAGACTCTTTGTAAAGTCCGTGTGATACCTTCCATAATGATAGGTTCTGTAGTTTGACCGAGAAAAACAAGTTTACAGGGAGGGGCTGGAGGAGGGTCAAGCTCTGGAAAATATCCAGCCACACAGATTGCACAAAAGTCAGCAGGCTAGAATGCACATCTGTTCCAGCCTTCTGCGCAGACAACAGGTTTTGCATTCCTTCTCTTGAAGGAACAACCCGGTGTGCTTAAACATTCAGTTTCCCTAGCACATGTCTGTGAGCACAAAGACTTCCATGCCACTTTCACAGATGTATTCACAAAAAATAAAAGCCCAGTGATATTAGTTGTATTATTTTCAAAATCAGAAAACTAACTCAAAATAGTAATGATGCTTATTGAAGAGGTTAATGAAGTAAACCATTGTAAATACTATGCTCCATAGCCATTAAAAAGAATGAAATGATGCCGAGGTGCAGCTTCATGAGAGTCATTGCCTAGCGGATATGAGGGCCTGGGTTCAAGTCCCAGTGCACATGTGCACATGCACATGCACAGCATAGGGTGGGGGCATTAGTCTATACTGATCAGAAGTCCAGAGTCTGAGAGGAAGGAAGTGGTAGGATAGTGTGTGATCTCATCTGTGATGCAAAAAAGCGTCTGTGCTTTTGTGCATGTTGAGATCTTCCAGAAGGCTTTACAAGAAGCAGTTATACATGTGAGATTAGACACCTGGGATGAGAAGAATGTGCCTCTGTGACCATGGTTTCTGAGGGTTTTCTGCCAGCCTGGCAGGGAAATCAGTGGAAACTCTCAGTCCTTGTGGTGGGAGTAGGTCCCAGAGACTGTTCCTGTGCAGACAGACCAGGAGGCAGAGAAGAGAGTGGGCTGTAGTCAGGGCCTGGAGTAGAACCTTCAATTCCACGGGCCAGGCCTCATCTCCTAGAAGTTCCAGTTTCCTGAAACAGTACCACCAGCTGGGGAGAAGTGTTCAAAACATGACTTGTAGAGTCATAGCTGCTGGAAACTGTAAGAGCTGGCGTGCGTGTGTGTGTGTGTGTGTGTGTGTGTGTGTGTGTGTGTACCCAAGTATCTGGGTTCATAAGTGCACCCACCCCAGCAGGCTCTTCGTGAAGGTTAGTTTGTTTGTTTGTTTGTTTTCTAAATGGGCACATTCTTTATAATTAAGAGTGTAATGCTGAGTGGAAGGTTTTTGTGGAACAGAATATTCACACCTCTTGAATTAGTTGTCCATTAATTACCAAACGAAAAATGAAAAGTGAAGCTACTTGGTAGTCACATCAAGTGATGGCAACCAAGCTTAGTAGCACCAGTGGGAAAACCCGAGACCTTCAGCTTTTTCACAATTAGGACACAACCCCTCATGGATGATGTGCATAACTGCATTTTAAAGGACTCTCCTCTGAGAACTGCCTGTGTCCTTTTATGCTATGTACAAATGCTGGTAGCTGACAGCTGTGGCTTGTGATTTCCTACTTGACCTTCCAGTCTTTTTTTTCTTTTTTTTTATTATTATTATTAATTACACTTTATTCATTTTGTATCCCCCCAGAAGCCCCTCCCTCCTCCCCTCCCGATCCCACCCTACCTCCCCTTTCTGCATGCATGCTCCTCCCCACGTCCACTAATAGGGGAGGTCCTCCTCTCCTTCCTTCTGATCTTAGTCTATCAGATCACATCAGGAATGGCTGCATTGTCTTCTTCTGTGGCCTGGTAAGGCTGCTCCTCCCTCAGGGGGAGGTGATCAAAGAGCAGGCCAATCAGTTTATGTCAGAGGCAGTCCCTCTTCCCATCACTATGTAACCCACTTGGACACTAAACTACCCTGGGCTACATCTGTGCAGGGGTTCTAGGTTATCTCCATGAATAGACCTTGGTTGGAGTATCAGTCTTTGGGAAGTTCCCTGTGTTCAAATTTTCTTGTTCTGTTGCTCTCCTTGTGGAGTTCCCGTCCTCTCCAGCTCTTGCTATTTCCCACTTCTTACATAAAATTCCATTCACTCTGCCCATCAGTTGGCCATCAGGCTCAGCATCTGTTTTGATAGTCTCCAGGGCAGAGGCTTTCAGATGCCCTCTGTGGCAGGTTCCTAGGTTGTTTCCTGTTTTCTTCTTCTGGCTTTCAGAGGCCCTCTGTAGCAGGTTCCGAGGTTGTTTCCTGTTTTCTTTTTCTTCTGATGTCCATCCTCTTTGCCTTTCAGGATGGGGATTGAGCATTTTAGTTAGGGTCCTCTCTTTTGCTTAGGTTGTTTAGATGTACCAATTTTAGGGGGTTTATCCTATGTTGTATGTTTATATGAGTGAGTATATACCATGTGTGTCTTTTTGCTTCTGAGGCAACTCACTCAGGATGATCCTTTCCAGGTCCCACCATTTACCTGCAAATTTCATGATTTCCTTATTTTTCATTGCTGAGTAATACTCCATTGTATAGATGTACCACAGTTTCTGCATCCATTCTTCAGTTGAGGGGCGTCTGGGCTGTTTCCAGCTTCTGGCTATTACAAATAAAGCTGCTACAAACATGGTTGAGCAAATGTCCTTTTTGTGTACTTGAGCCTCTTTTGGGTATATGTCTAGGAGTGGTATGGCTGGATCTTGAGGAAGCGCTATTCCTAGTTGTCTGAGAAAGCGCCAGATTGATTTCCAGCGTGGTTGTACCAGTTTACATTTCCACCAGCAGTGGAGGAGGGTTCCCCTTTCTCCACAACCTCTCCAGCATGTGTTGTCACCTGAGCAGTGCGCACCATGGCAAAAAAAGAGACTGAGAGTCCCTGTCTCCAGAGAACTTCCAGTCTTAATGGTGGGTTTTAATGTTTGTTATTTTAAATGTGGATTGAAGCTTTGGTTTTTCAGACATGGAATTATTTTAGGTAGCTAAATTTACTGATTAGCTGAAGATTTTTTTTTTTTAATTTTAATTATTTTTTAAAAATTGTTTCATTTGGGGCTGGGTAGATGGCTTAGCGGTTAACAGTGCTGGCTTCTCTATCAAAAGGTTCAATTTTGAGGACTCACAGGGCAGCTCACAATTGTCTCTAACTCTAGTCCCAGGAGATCTGACACCCTTTTCTAGCTCCCAGCATGCATGAGGTCCACAGACATTCTAGCAGACAAACTACCTATACACATAAAATGAAATGCAAACAACAATTGTTTATTGATGCATATCCATTGGAAAACATTTTATTTTCTTTTTAAATTTAAATTTATTTTATGTATGTGGGTGTTTTGTTTTGCGTGTGTGTATGACTCTGTGCCACATCCAAATAATGCCCACAAAGGCCAAAAGAGGGTGTCAGATCCCCTGGAGCTGGAGCTACAGATAGTTAGTCTGTGTTCTTTATTCTTGAATCATCTGTCCAGCCTAAAGATTTATTTCTTATGGCATAAATATAAATTATTTTCATGAAACTTTCTGCCATTCTAAAGTATGTATTTATAGACAATGCATATTTCACAGCTGCTGTAATATATGGAATGTATAAATGTATGGTGTATTTTATACTCCCTATTTCATGATGCACCTTTATCATGATGCACCGTGGTTCTTAGCATTATGTAGCACATTGATACGTTCAGAGCCTGTCCTGGTCCTTTTTCTCAATTGCCTCAGACTTTTGAGGTTTAAGCTAATTTACATTTATTTTCTGGTAGTTAACAGGTTCTTCCTTAAAGGCATGAGATGACTTCATAATAAAAGAAATAAAACCTAAACCCTGTAACACAGCCTAACATGGCATGAGCATATGAGCTTACTGTGGCTTCCACATTTATTGTCTGTTTTTTTCCTATTAGAATATATCTGTTTTATTCATCTCTGGCACTCAAAACTGGAATATAACTGGCACTTATATTTGATGGTAGATTATGCCTT